ATGCCGGGATGGGTGGGATCAAGGAAGTGGCAGAAGTACCCTGGTCCCTGCTGGCTGTGCTGGGCAAGGAGGGTGTGTAGGGACATGGGTTGGGGTATTAAAGCCCTTTGCCTCCGTCTTGCAGAAGAGGGTCCTCAGGCTATGGAGCTGCCTCCGGGTCATCATCAGGCCCTCCGACTCCCCAGCCAGCCCCAGCAGGATGCAGGCCCTGCTCTTTGCTCCTCTGAGCAGTTGGGACAACCTGGTGTCTCACAGATGCTTGGCCAGGCAGGCAGGGGAGACAGTGCTGGGGCACTGAGACCAGGTTGCTGGTGCAGCCTCTGCTCACGGCCTTTCCTCGGCCTGGACGCCAGACCCACGCTCTCCATGCCCACTTGTGGAGCAGCTACATCCCTGCCATGATCCCAACTCTGGTCCTGCCTCCGTGTGGTGGGAGCCATTGAGATTTGTGGTGCTCTTAGACTGACCTTCAGGCTAAGGGACTCACACCTGCCCTAGGCACATGGATCCAGGATCAGGCCCACGTATTTAAGAGCTGCACCCAGCTGTCCCCAAGCAGCAGTCCCTGATAGGAACCCCCTAAGGATTGTTAGAAAGGCAGCTGGAGAAGGAAGTAATGGAGATGGGATGGGAACCGGGATGTGTCCAGGGAGAGAATAGAGGCAGTGTAGCATAGTGGTTGGGAACACAGATTCTGGAGTTGGATAGATCTGGATTTTAGTTCTGCTTCTACCACTTACTAGCTGTGTGTCCTTGGGCAAGTCATTTAACCTCTCTGGCCCTATTTCCTGCTCTATAAATTAGGGGTAATGAAACCTCCTTGATGAGGATATTGTGAGGATAAAATGCCCATGATGTGCTTAGCACAGGGCCTGGCACGTGGTGCATGCTTACTGAGTGTCAGCCCCACCAGGGAAGTGACGTGGCGGCAGTGGGCTTGTGTGCATGTGTGTATGGCTGCACTGTGGCAGGGGGTGCTGGGGCCTGGCTCCTGGGCTCATGCTACCCTCCCTACAGACCCCAACTCCAGAGTTCTTCCTGACCACGATCCGGGATGAGCCAGAGGTGCCAGTGAGTGGGGGACCCAGTGGGGACTTTGAGCTGCCGGAGGAAGAGACCACACAGCCAGACACAGCCAATGAGGTGGTGGCTGTGGGTGGGGCCGCGGCCAAGCCATCACCTCCACCTGGGACGCTGCCCAAGGGTGCCCGCCCAGGCCCTGGCCTCCTGGACAATGCCATCGACTCGGGCAGCTCGGCAGCTCAGCTGCCCCAGAAGAGCATCCTGGAGCGGAAGGAAGTGCTCGTAGGTGAGACTTGTGGCCTGGGAGGAGCCCAGAGGGGGCAGCTGGTGGGGCTTCAGTTTGCCCTCTAGGAACCCAGGAGGGAGGGTAGGGTGCGGGTTTCCTAGGAGCCTAGTTTCCTAGGAAGGGAAAGCTGGGGACTTGGGGACCCCAGGACATACCCTCTGGTTCCTCTTCTGACCTTCCTTATCCCAGGGTCTGACCTCCATCCTACCTCCAGCACTTTCCTCAGCACCCTCTGACCCCTCCTCAGACTCTGCCCTTGACCCCTGCTTCCCTGGACCATGCTGATTCACCCCTTCTGGACTGCAACCTCTGGATCCTAATCCCTGGTCCCATCCTTGGTTTGATCTGCGCCCACCCTTGATGCCAGCCCTGAGGACCTGCCCTTGGCCTTGTCTCCTGAAGAGTCTCTGGATTCATGGTCCAAACCCTGCTCCCCACTTAGGAGCAGTGTGGCCTCGGCCAGGTGCTTCACCTTTCCAGGCTCCCTTTTCTTCATCTGTGGAATGGGGATAATCACTTCTGCACTTAATCAATTCTAAGTGCACATCTATTCATATGTTAACACTTCTGCAGTTGGGATGTGTCCTAGTTTAGGTGGCAGAGATTTTTCCATCCTGAGGGTATATAAAATACTGGAGCGTCTTCTGATTGATGGCATCTTACATTTGCTGAGGACCGTAGCACAGCACCTCCCTCATAGCACTGTGTGAAGATTCCATGCATTCGTGTGATGAGAACAGGTGATTAGAACAGTGCCAGGCTGCAGTGAGGGCTGTAAATGGCAGCCAGTGCTGGTGTTTTAGCATTGACCCCAAACTTCACTCCAGCTCTGGTCTCAGGTTCGAGATTCCCAGCCCTCTCCCAGCTCTTGCCCCCATCCCCCAGGGCCCTCTGCCCTCTCCTCAGGCTCTGAGCTCCTCCCACCCTGCCTCTGGCTCTTGACCTCTGCCCTCTTCCTCCACAGCTGTGATTGTGGGCGGGGTGGTGGGCGCCCTCTTTGCCGCCTTCCTGGTCACACTGCTCATCTACCGCATGAAGAAGAAGGACGAGGGCAGCTACACGCTGGAGGAGCCCAAACAGGCGAGCGTCACATACCAGAAGCCCGACAAGCAAGAGGAGTTCTACGCCTAGCGGAGCCAGAGTGCCTCCCTGTAGCCTCAGCGCCACCCCTGCGCCCACTCCCTGGCCCGGAGCCACCAGTCCCACCCTGGGACTGGGCCTGGGAGACAGCCTGGCCCCAGTTCATCTCTGCCACCCTCCCAAGGTCTGCCCAGACTGCCAGCTTCACACAGCTCTTCCCCAAGGGACAGGGGGCATTACCATCTGCTCCAGACTGTGCCCTTACGAGCTCACTTGTCCGCCCCCACCAGCCTGGGGCTTTAGGACCTCATGTCAGGTGGACAGCAGGAAGGAAACTCCTGATTGGCTGGTGGAAGAAGGGGTGGGGCTTAAGCCCCAACCTGGCCCCATGGGGCTGACTGAGGTTTCCTTTTGGGGGCAGAGGGGCACTCAGGCAGGTTTCCAGGACAAGCATTTGGCAAACTCAGCCCTTGAAATTATTGAGACACTGCAACCTCTTGCTTCTCTCCCAGGCCCCCTCCCTGCCTGGGTGAGACAGTACCCCTCACCACCAACCTGTATTGTCCCAGCCTCTCTGGGGTTGTGGGGTCGTTTTCCCTCACCCTTGCCCGATGCACATGCACCCACAGGCTTCACCTCCTTCCCGGTCTGCCCCTGAGGAATCGGCTTCCCGAGAGTGCTCTGGCAGCCACTGGTGAGGAGGGGCTGGGCTGCTTGGACCTCCTTCCGAGTGGACTCTGCACAGACACTATCTCCCACATGGTCACACGTATCGTCACACACAGACAAAAGCACGCAGTGACAAAATCATATGCAGTCTTGACCACCCAGCCAATCCAGACATGTCACAGACACACACGTTCTTCCAAAGAGGTTTATTCATTTCTTACGTGCCCCCAAATGCTTATGACAATGCAAGTCACTAATCATCGTTACCCGGTGGTGACGGTGTAGCCTGCCTCCCTCTCTGCCACACTCCTCCCACCCCCCACCCACCCATACACCTGACACCACACACGTTGCCTCCAGCTTTCAGGCTCACTGGGGAGGGTGCCGTTAGGCCAGAACAATCAGCCCATATTGGGTCCCCTGAGGTGCCCTGTCACACTCAGCCCTCACGACACCATCACCAACCACATTGCCACCGACCCTGGCAAGTCTGATGCAATCCCACGTGGATGCACAGTCTCACCCACACAGCCCCGCTCTCACACTTGGACACTTGCCTTTCCTGGAATGAAGTGCGGTGTGGGGGCCATTGCCACAAGCCCCCTCAGAACGTTGCACACCTGCTGAGCCTGGCTTCACCCTGCCTGCTTCCCTCCCCTCTGTAGCCTGCAAAGGGCTTGCTTGGGGGCAAGTCCCCCACTTGCTGAGGAAGGCAGGCTGGTTCCCGGAATTCAGCCTTGGGCTGGGGAGGGGGCTTGGGTCCCCCAGGACCAAAGGCCCCGGGTGGGGAGGGAGCATGTGGTGGGGCTCCTGGGCTCCCTACATCCCTCTCCTGCTCTGAGCTGGGGTCCGACTCTGCCTCCCAGGACACAAGTCTCCAAAGTGCCTGCGAGGGTGGGCCCTGCGCCTGGGCCCTCTGCGCCCTCTCCCTTTGGCCTTGCCGGGTCCACCTCAGCCCCACCCCTAGTCCCCTGGGGGCCTCCCGTGGACACCTGCCCATTCATTTGGCCAGACAACCTGGCGGTTGTCCTGGCTGCAGCTGGAAGCAGCCCATCCAGACGCACTGCCCCAGGCCGAGGGCTGCGGGTAGCCTGGAGCGGGGGTGTCACAGGCCCCAGCCCGCCTCCCCCGTCTCTGTTACCCTTGCAGATGGGGCCTCTTACGTAGATACTTTAAATGTGGGGTCACAAATCTATCGGGGCTGTGCTTGGTGGGGGCTCTTGGAGCCAAGGGATGTGGTCTGAGTTGTGATGGTCTGGGCCTCACACCCCCACCCCTTGCCCACAACCCAGATTCAAGTCAGGAGCCTGGGTTTTATTTCTGTTCCCTTTTCAAGACTCGCTGGCAATAGACTTGTGCAGGGTGAGGGCTGGGGGTGCCTGAGGCGGTGAGGGTGAGGTCCCAGGGAGCTTTGCAGCCTGTCTTTTCCACTGTCCTACTCCCAGGCTGGGGCTCCATCTTTCAGACCCGCAGGCCCCCTTGGCAGGGCCTGGAGGCTGGTGAGAAACCTAGCTGGTCCCGCTCTTTGAGGGGCAGGAGTAGGGGGAGGCCTCCTGGGCCCCACGATCTGTTGGAGGTGACCTGGCCTCAGTCATTCCTGGAGTGTAAGGGCTGGGGGACAGGAGAGACCAAAGTCCCAGCCTCCCTCTACCCTGCTTCCTGGCGGGCTGCTGTCTTGGGGCAGCAGCTCTGGTGAGAAGGCCTGGGCAGGCCAAGGCTGAGAAGCCAGGGAGCAAGAAGGAGAGGGGATCTGGACCACCCAGGGGAGCTCTGGGATGCTGGGACTGGGGTAAGAGACCCAGCAGTGGGCACAGCCTCGGCATGGGGCTGGAGCCCGTGGTGGGTGCAGGGTCGAGCACAGGACGGCTGAGCAGGGTGTAGGCTGGCTGCAGTGGGCTCAGAGGAGCTGCATGGGTCCAGCCTGGCCCCAGCAGGCCTAACTCCTCATGCTCTGTGGGCTGGCTTCTAACTTGGGGCCTCCTGGCACTGGCCTTTTCTCTGTGTCCTTAGCATTTGTGAGAAGAGGCCGAGGGCCTTGTTCATGGAGCCCTGGAACCAAGAAAAATGTCCAGGCTTTACCTTCATGAAGTTTCACACCATCTGATCAGCCCAAGTCCATCCCAGCCAGCCCAAGTCCAGCTCAGCAATCCCAGAGTGAGCGATCCCAGAGTGGGCGGTACAAAGGACGAGCTGGAGCTCTCCTATGTGCAGTGTGAGTGCAGGCCTCACCCTGCCTGGATACATGGTGTGATGCGTGCAGGCCCTGCCCAAATATGTCCCCAGCCACCCCGGTGCTCCTGGGGAGGGCGTCCTGCAGGGCCCTGGCATTGCCGGGAAACATGGCCAGTTCCAAAGGAAGAGGGAGCTTGTGTGCTTGACAGCCTCTCTGGGGCCTCAGCTGCCAGAGGGTGCAAGGCGGGCTGGGGCCACCCCTCAGCTGTGACTCCTAGAGCCCAAGCTCTGTCTCCCCAGGGGGCCAGAGGGGATGCCTCCCCTGAAGGGTTGGTCCCCTTGTTCGGAAGCAGATGGGTGGTCACCGGGGCTGGGCCGGGCGGGTCAGCCCCTTCCGGGGGTTGGCAGAGCCATCTGTCCAGGCTTCCGAACTGGGGCCCTGGGCACAGGGAGCAGACACACCTCTGCCTCATGGGACAGGAGTGGGCACTGCCTACTTGGCGCTCCTGAATTTCTTCTGACAGCCACCACCCTGGACTTGCTTCCCCAGGCCTCCTGCCTGTAAATAGAAGCCCACAGACTGTGTACAGATTTACAGAGACGCCGAGGCTGGGCCCAAGAGTTGCCATCTAAGGGCTGATGGCCCCAGCATCCCCCGGGTGCCCACCAGGCAACTCAGCGCACCAGCCCCAGCGTGGCGAATGCATGTAAATATTTTTCGTAGGCAGCAGTGTGGCTCCAGAGAGCCCCCTGAAGACAGTGTCCCTCCTGTGCGTCCTTTCTCCTATACAGATCCCTCCAAGAACCCGGCCTGGGGTGGGGGGAGTTTGTCCTTCCCTCCCCCAGGCCTTCCCTGCCCCTTCTCTCCCTCATAACCTGTTTATTAACCATACCTGTCCTGAGTTCATGGCCAAGACTTCAAATACGAAAAAGCGGTAGAAAAAGAAACCAAGGCACCTGCCCCACTGTGGGTGCTCACCTGTCCCAGCCTTGTGAAGGAACTGTGGGTTTTTTTTGTTTGTTTGTTTTTTTAACACTTCCTGTGCTGTGCCCATTTATAAGAGGAAATAAAATTAAACCGAAATGATGCCCTGTGGTCAGAGTGTGAGATAAGCATGGAGGTCATTTGGGGAGGGGCAGCCCACAGTCCCATTTGGGCCTCAGCCATATCCCCCTTTAAAAGAAATTGAAAAGCAAGCAAAGAAAATTGACCGACAGCCCCTCGTGGGAGCCATTATGGTAAAAGCCGCTCTTGGTTGAGAGTGTTCGGGAAGCCATGGAGCCGCCTGCGGCGAGGCTGAGTGGGCGCTGTGGTTGGGCAGGGCTAGGCTGTGGTGGCACCGGGGGCCCTGTGGTCCAGCCTCAGGGGAAGGAGAACTGCGGTTTCCAGCCACAGGAGAGAATCTTGGGACCGCAGGATATTGGAACTGGACTGGCCGAGGTGAGATGTCTTTGGCGTCTGAAGGGCCCGGTTTCAAGCGCAGGTGACGTTTCCGAGCTCTGACTCTGGAGAAGCTACTTGGCGTGAGGCTCAGTGTTCTTACCTGAGAAATGAGGTGAGCGTTAACAACATCCCCAAGTACTATGTGAGGAGGAACACTCAGCACGGTCAGCCTCAGCTCACGGGGTCTTGGATGATGGCGTTGGGACAGAACCGAACCCAGGACAGGAGGAGTTCCGTGGTCGGGAAGCCCAGATGGCCTCCTGGGATCACAGGGTCATGGAGCTGGGAGGGCCTTAGAGCCAGCCCTGGGCCGCTTGGGGTAGAAATCCCTTCTTCAGTGCCTCTTGGGGGACTTCCCTGTCCCTGCCAGCACACCTCTTATGACAGGGACTTGGTGCATCCTGGGGACCAGGTCACTCTGCCTGTTGAGAAGTCCTTCTTTATTTTTAGCCAAAATCTGCCTCTCTTGTGTTTCCTTTCTCTGGTGCTCATTCTTCTCTGGAGGCACACAGGGCTCTGCCCCCTTGCTATGGGATAGCTCCAGGCATGAGTGTCATGGTCAAAACCCTTCCTCCAAAGGAAACCTCTCCATGTCCTCTAGAGATTTATTCAGCTTAAAATGTGATACTCACACAGGGTCCTGATGGTTCTGGGGTGGGTTGGAGGCTGAGGCCCCTGGATTTGGTACAAGATCCTACCCATCCTGCCCTCCCTTCACTAAAGTTTCTTGAGTGCCCCCAGGTGCATCCCTGGTGAGCACTTACAT